CGACCGAGATACCCTGCACAATACACGAATTGTTGACCCAATGCACCTCCCCCACCTCCCCCGCGCATACGCACGGGGCGTGTGGGACACTAACGCTCTAGATAGTTTGCTTCCAATCAAATTGTCTGTTTTGTGATCAGACTGGCGTTTACTCCAACCTTGCTGTTGTTTTTGTTTTCTTTAAGGGAATGTTTAGTAGTTATGACATCTTAAAAAAGTAGCGAGAGCGTTATTTGAGGTAGAACGACAACTGCAATTTCACAGACGGGACCCTATACAAAATCATCATAGAAAGGCAGCATCGCGTGTGTGTAAATTTGCGGAGGAGGCAACTAGACCCCTATTGGGCGGTTTCCAGCAGACACCGCGGTCTTACTTTTGGCAGTATGGACATGGGAGCGCATCCTGATGTAAACAAACAGAGACTTCTCCAAAATAACTTTCCAGTAACGTCGGCTTTAAAACATCTAACGAACTAGCAATAACCTGAAAAATGTATGTTGCTCTATCGCAGGCCTGAGAACAACCCAGTTGGAGAGTTTGAAAAAAGTAAGTTGGTAATTAAGCAGGAAAAATTGCCGTTGGATGTACAAACAAGAGAACGTGTAGAAAAAATCTGAAAGGATCAGGACATGGCCTGAGCTTACAACGAGTCTTACAAAGGATTCCCGGAAGTGGAGAATACTAAAGGATAAAACGAGCTACGTCTTGGATAGTATCGAAACCGAAGTTTCATTAAGCTCAAAAGGAAATGAGGAGCCTAGTGCCGCATACATACCGGAGTGGATGCCAATGCGAAGTTTGAGCTCCCTGTCAGGTCGATGGGGAATGATGAAGGTGGACATAGACTTGAGAAACTCTATAGCCATACGGGCCACCTCCTTGGCGTGCTGGTTGCCGTTACGCTGAGGCAGGCCTGAGGCGACCATATAAGCGTCTCCAATCGTCTCCACTTTATACACGTCGAAACGCACGATGATGGAGTCGAAGAGGGTGTACAGCTGATTCAGCAGTTCTACTACCTGCAAGCAGAGAGAGAAAAGGAAACTAAAAGGCTACAAGTCAAGTTGTGTTTCACGTTTATCAATGGTCTATAATTGTGGTATCTCTACCTTGGTAGCTTACACTGACCTCAAGCAAAATCACTCAGTTGTATAATTAGAACAGCCTACAAAAAGGAGTTTACTGTTCATAACCCATCATTTTTGGCTACTTTGAAAGAGCATAGCTATTTGAAGAACCGTCTTGACAGGCTGTGAAGGCAAACCTAGAACGATTTGGTCGCTGAAAAAGATGTCGAAGCTCCTAGAATAGCAAGTTTAAGAAGCGTTATTATGTTGTTAGGCATGGATATTTCATTTCTTATTCATCTGCGGAAAACGACAGGCGTGGAAGTGTTCTTTTAGTAATTAAATCGACCATTGCACGATCGCTGTGGTTATTTATGTATGAATGTAATTGAGACGATGCTTTACATTACAATCGAAGGCCAGGGATGAGATCTCGAGGGATCGATGGTGAAGGATGGGCAAGGCGAAGGAAACGCCGATGAACAAACGGCATTCGGGCGTCATGGTTGAAACCATCCACTGGGCAGTTCATAATTAACCATCTCACATGCAATCACACTGCCTTGGCAATAATATATAGTACGGGTATGCTTGAATATGATCACTAGCACATGGGTTTGTGTGATAATTGGAGGCCTATGGGTGACGGACCGAGGACACTGCAGCAATAATGCATGGAAACGTGGACAGAGGCAAGGAGAAGTAAGGCCTTTCCTTCGGCTATTTCACGGTAAGATATAGGCTGGTTCGTTGAGCTCCTGCTTTTAAGTTAGCGAAAATGGAACAACTTTACACAACCAACTTTAAAGAACTGTTTCTTACAACGACTTGAATCGTTGTGTTTTGTGAGTCAGAATAGTGGACAAGCGGCGTAGAATTTGTGAGTCAGCACTCTTACAAAATTGTACTCCAGGCGCAGCACTCTGATTTAAGTAGGAGATAAACGCAATTATCATTTGAGTAAAAAAATCAACATCTCCTGGGTGGAGATGAGTGAAATAATTTCAATGCCTTAAAGCCTCACAGTATTGCAACTGCATTGGTGCTTCAAAGAAGCGACTGAAACTTTAATAGCTCCGAAAGATTTGCAATAGTTTTCTACAATAAATCGCTCCTTCGGAATCATCAAATACGCTCATCACATGTCTACTCAAGTTAATTATTTTTAACCATCTCCCGACAATTGACGGCCATATCCGCCGCGCAGAAGTGGTAAGTGAAAACGAGTGCTTTGACTAAGGCAAAGCTTGAGAGGAAGTTAAACCCAGTTGGGAATTGAACGGGGTTAAAAATGCACTAATTGAGCATGCTGCTAAAGAGGGCGACACGAACGAACCTGGATGGCAGTTGAATCGGCCGAGAGAGAGGTAAATTCGACGATGTCGCTGAAGTATATAGTGACAGATTCGAAACTCTCAGCTTTGACTGGCTGCTTTCGAATCAGTTGGCTGGCCACCGATCTGTAGAGGAGCGCAAAACAGACTGTATTGTTTTCTATTCGAAAATGGCAATGATGTTTAAGAATATGGTTAAAACTATTGGTGCTCTCCGTTCAAAGAAATCATAACTACTGAGAGTCCTCTCCTACTACCACCCTAAGTACAAGACGAATCTGGTACTGATGCACATTCGCTTGCAATGAGAAGCAACGACGACCAACACTCGAAAAGCCAATAAAATTCATCTATGAATTGCCGCATCCACGTTCCCTGTCCCGTATGTGAAGCAACTATGTAAAAGTAACCAAAATTAAAAGCGCAGATTGAAAGGAAAGTGTGTTTACATCATTGTGAGTGCTCCCAATGATGACGACCAAAATGGGCGCCTAAGGTGGGAGGACAATCACATCAAACCATTAATTCCACTTGAGATTGGCTAATTTCTTTCAAAAAATACTTCTCTCGGGCAATTAATGCATAACCCTTCCAGAATTGTCCTTCACACTCGGAGTAATTTTGACTAACACTCAACCACAAGAATTGGGAAGATATATCGTCCTTGAAAAGACGAAAAATTATGCAACCTAATTGCACACATTCAGTGGCCACTGTGTATATTTGTAATAATTTGCCTGTTCTCAACTGCCTGTACGCGTGGCTGTGGCTTTGGAGTCTCGAGACGCCACAGTTTACCACTTCGATTACTTAACGTAACTCTTTATTTCAGTTTCAAAGAAATTTAGGTTCTGTAGTAGGGCTTCTGCTGAGAGCACAGCCTTCAGACCATGCTGCCAACTTTACAACCTTTCCGTACGTTGATAACTTCCTTTGCCTTTAGGAATGGCTAAAAGTGCTATTTTTGTAATAGCAACGAGCAAAATCTATCCGAAATACTCAAAAGTGTGATTTCTGTTGCTCAGTGTCAAACCCTAACATGACATGAAGGAATTCGTAATGACCTCTGAGGGAGGAGCTGAGAATTGTGTCCCCCTTCAGTAGCTGTCCCTGACTGAATTTTCTACAGGAATGCTATCAGCAATTGAAGCGCTACTATCCCTAAAGCTGCAGTACCTGTGTAAATAAGTCAAACAAACGAAAATTTGATACCTCCTCCACTGCCCTACTGGTTAAGGGAAAGTCTGTTAAATAAATGTGGTTAGACCAAACTAAACTGTGAACAAGGCAACGAGGAGAGATAGAAACGAAATCAAGCAATCGACGACCCGCTCTTTGGTATGGGAGTCTTTCTAGGTCAATATAAACACGATCGGCGCAGAAATTTCTATTCCCCTCAACATAGTTCCCAAACAGAACCACACTCCAGGTTCAGTAGAAGTGGAAGGCGACATTGATTGCTTTGCATTCACATATTATCTTGGCTGCAGACATATTCCGCAGCTAAAACGAATGCGTTGTGGTGGTGACGCAGGGGCGACCATAAGGGGTGCTGATAATAACGGTAGAGAAGGGGCCACTGAACGCCTAGGTGGCCAATTTGATGCCTTGTTGTGGTTTTACGAGCATTTGTTGCTTCTTCTAGGTAATTTTAATAATCAAGAGAGCTCAAGCCAAATTTACGCCCGACTACAGCCAGAGAGCAGGCAGTGATGTTTACGCAAGACTTCTAAAATGATTTGTAACTAAGTCAACTGATTAATAACAAATGACAATCTGTGGGACCAAACTCACTTTGGCAGAATGGAATAGAGGAGTTCCTCCACCTTCCTCTTCTCAACGAGGTACTGGTCGGTACGTTCAGCTACAAGATCCTCCAGGTTATTTGCGTACTGCTCCATACGCGAAAGCAGATTGTCCAACAGATTGTCCGTATCCCCACTCCTGGTTGGAGCAGCCGATGTAGCAGCAACAGCAGAAAAGAAGTATTATTTCTCATGATACTGTGAATTCAAAAAGCCTAACAATGTAGACATACAGTAAAAAAGGTTTTAAAAGAACTTCTTCATCCTAATCAACAGGAGAGTTTGGAGCCTTCCTAGCGCCCTCATACCTCAGGCACTGACTGGTTTGCCTTAGGAGTGCAGCAAGCACACCACAGTAGCTTCTGGTCAGCATTACGGAGCTCTAAGACATTTCAACTGCATTCACAACTTATTCATTCATTCCAGCCCTCAAAATTGCCACAATACTACGCACCAAGGAAAAGACGATCAATTTCTTGTCAAAACACGAAACTCAAATAATTTTCTAATGCTTATTGCTAGAACCTGGAAAAAGAAAAAACGGTTTGGTTAGCAACAAAGTTACCTCAACTAACTAATTCTCTGGAAGCTAGAGAAAAAGTTACATTGCCTTCTCCCTCTGGAATTGTGCTCGAAAAGATTCCGATGATATCGTATGTATGAACGACGAAAATTGGTATATCACAAATGAAGAGTGAATCTGTAGTGCAGAAATAGGCATCGAATGACAACCAAATGGCTTCCTCTGTTTTTTGAATGCTAAAAAGCAAATAGCTCCAGAAGGCTCAGAACTTCTCCGAGTTTTTTTCCAACGAGACAAACGCCAGGCGTTTCGACCACATCAG